CAGGCTCGTACTGGAACTGGTCTGGAAGGGTTTGCTTATTGGCTAGAAGGTTGCGGAAGAGAAAAGTGCGCCAATCGTCCCCATCTCGAAAAATAAGAGCAGTCAGAGCATGAATGCAGATCATGATGATATGCACGGCGTCCTCGTCGGATACGTGGTGAGTCGCTTTGCTTGCATTATTGTGTTGCGAAAGGCGCAGTGTCTTTGCGTCCTTGCCTTTGGCGCCTTTTCGAATCTTTAGCTCAGGAGGCGCAACAAACAAGCACTCGAGACTCTGCCACAGACTGTCGAAAACGAGGGCACCATTAATTTCTTGCCAACCCTGGAAGGCACGATTCATCTTTGCGGGGTGGATGTGCGGCAGGAGGCTTAACCGAGTGTCCATCTCGTTGCGGAAGGATGCAATCAGCGTCTTTGGATTGCTGAGGCACTGATGAAGGCACTCGTCGACAAAACTCCATCGTTTTTTGCAAGAGCCATATCTCGGCATGCTGTCAGGCAAATGGATTTGCAGCTCAGAATCTCTTTCAGCGAGAGCAATGCGTTTCAAATCCTCCATGATGGCGTATGACAAATGTGTCGTGGTGAATTTGGTCCGATCATACAGCCAGCTGTCTCCGCGAGAGTCCTTGGAAGAGCCTGGTTTCTCCCCTGAGCGCGTCGACGGTCGAGGATGAGTCTGCTTCGGCGTTTTCTTCGAAATCTGAATGTCCAACTTTTGGCTCCATTCTCCATTCGGAGGGCGCTCTTCAGGGCTCGCGGATCCGTTTGGTGTAGGCAGGGCTGTGTTTGGATCCTCAAGACTTTTCTTCGGCATTGGATCTTCCCAGCTTTTTGGGGTTCTTGTCGCCAGCACCGCAGTTTTCCGAGCAGGATGGCCATTCACCAGAGACGACTTGGATGAACGCGATGGCAATGTAACCTCTATTTGCGTATTTTGAGATGTGGATGGTCTGCTTGGAGCATTTCCAGTTTCTGGCGGGCTTTGAATTGTAGTTTCGCGGCCTGATTCTGTCAAATATTCGAAACCGGCTTCGATTTTGGGAGCGTTGTCTCCAGCTGCGGTGCTCTCCGGACTTGCCAGCCCATTGCGGCCAAATTGATTCAACGTGCGGGCGACTTTTGTGCTGTACAGATTCTGCAGAAACGACCGATGGTCTATTCTATTGGACCGTCCATCGCGCAATTCCACAGGCCGTATCCATTGTGAAGGAGCATCTATAATATCGCAAAGACCAGATTCCGGGTCGTCTTGACTGGCCAAGTGGTAGGCAAGAGCTCTGGCGGCGATGGGAGTTGGGCGTCGTAGTGGTTTCGATGTGTCGCGTTTGACGCAGCTGAAGCATGTAGGTTTGGTGCAATTTGGATTGTCGCAGCCATAGCGTATCTGCAAGGTGTACCTTTGACAGGTTAGGGAGGCGCTTGTATAGCTGATGGATGTGCTTACCTGCGGACCAGAGACTGGAAGCTAGCAAGACGCGTAGCACCCAAGTCGCGGAAGCTTAACTCGCGCGAGTCCAGCATCCGTGAGCTTGCCAGCAGACGGCGCCACGGGTCCTTTGCAATAATGTCGGCAAGCTGCTGGGTGCCGCCCAAGAGCTGCGGCGGCGACCCGCGCGCATCGGTCGTCATCTCATCTGGTGGCTGTGGTTGTCGAGGAGGGGTGGCACGCTGGCCAGACGCAAGAGAGCGGTAGTTTGAGTGAGAATAGCAAGAAGAACGAAAGACGCGATAGACCAACTGAGAGGTAGGTGGTTGTTGTAGCAGAGATGGCAGTGCGAGCCGAGCGGAGGAGATCAGTCAGCAAGGGTCACCGGCCAGACGTCATGCAGCCAGCTCAGCCCTACAGACAGACCAAAGTTGGACCGCCGGCACTGAAACTATCATCGGCTCGCGCTCGCCACAAGGTCTGGCCGGTCCTGAAATAATCCCACCGCTTTTCCTTCGTCCACCCCATCACCATCCCTTTGATTCTCCCCAATCCCTCCATTGTGTCGACCTCACGGCAATCCCCCGCTGTCGTCGCGACTCACCGTTCGCCCGCTGGCCCCTCCAGCTTCTGAATCGCCGACCACGACTTTTCCTCCGCCCACTCTCGTCACCTTCCTTGCACAGCACCCGGACGAGGCTCAACCGCCAGACGCCATGGCTTCCAATCAGTCGTCGCACCCGTTCACCTGCAACACCTGCCAGGTCGCCTTTCGGGCCAGCGAGCTGCAGCGCGCGCACATGCAGACCGACTGGCAGTGAGTGATTTTCGGCCTTGATTTTGTACCGTCCGACATGGCTGACCGCTCCTCCTCCAAAGCCGCTACAACCTGAAGCGTAGAGTTGCCTCGCTGCCTCCTCTCTCCTCTGAGATCTTTGCCGAAAAGGTCCTTGCGAACAAGGCATCTGCCGCCGCCACTGCCGCCCGCGCTCAGTATGAAAAGTTGTGCGGCGCTTGCCAAAAGACCTATTTTAGCGAAAACGCCTACACGAACCACTTGAATAGTCAGAAGCACCGTCAGAATGTCGCAAGGGCATCCAGGAAGGATGACGACGCATCATCAGTCATGAGCTCGACCTTTTCGCTGGGAGAGACTGTAGACTCGGCTTCTACCGCGCACCCAGACAGAGATGCCGATTCTGAGGTGTCCGATGTTGCGGATGGGCTTCAAAATGCTACCTTGGAGGATGGCCAAGCCGATGGCGCAAGGGCGACTACTGTGACGGTGGATGCGCCGTCCACCAAAATCGAGCCGCCCAAAGACGTCGTCTACTGCTTGTTCTGCAACTTCCGCTCGCCAACGCGCGACCTCAATCTCGGCCACATGCAGCGCTTCCACGGCATGTTTATTCCCGAGCAAGAATACCTCGACGACCTCGACGGCCTCTTGCGCTTCTTCTGGCGCAAGATTCACGAATTCTGCCAATGTCTCTACTGCAACAAGATTGTCTACACGGCAGCAGGCATCCAAACCCACATGCGCGATCGCGGACACTGCAAGATTGCCTACGAAAACGAGGACCAGATGCTCGAGATTGGAGACTTTTACGACTTTACGCGAACCTACTCGGACGACGAGGAAGGCTCCGTCACCGAAGGCGAGGACGGCGAAGGCGGCGACGACGGCTGGGAGACGGACAGCAGCGTGTCAGATGTTCCCACGGACGAGATCACGTCGGTCCCGATTGATGACCGCTCGCACCGGTACGCAAAACTCGGCCAACACCGCCACCACTCGCACGCAGATCCGCGCCCGCACAAGGCGGCTGACGGCTACCACAGTCACGCGCACTCGGGCCCGCGAGCCGTCTACCACGACGAGTACGAGATGCACCTGCCGACGGGCCGCACCGCCGGCCACCGCTCACTGCGCCACTACTACCGCCAGAACCTGCGCAGCTACCCCTCGGCGGCCGAGCGCGCGGAGCGCCTTGCCATCGAAGAGGCTCAGGCTCTGCGCAACACGTCGTCTGGAGAAGACGACGACGAAGACGACGAAGACGACGATGCCGAGGGCGGCGTCCAGCTGGAGCCCGGCCGCGGCCAGCTCGAGCGCGGCAGGGGCCGCAACCGCGACAGGCAGGTCATGTCGCGTCCCGAGAGAGGCCTCTTTGGCGTCACGGATACCAAGAAGCGGGAAGTCAGGGCGGCCGAGCGGAGAGAGACGAGAAAGGCGCAGCGCGAGCAGGCGAGGTCCGAGTGGACCAAGAACAAGAAGGGCAACTTCCAGAAGCACTTCAGGGTGAGATCGAGCAATTTTTTGTCAGAAAAGGAGGCATTCCAGCTAACATCGTACAGGACCCGCTCCTCCAGTGATCGCCTCACGCAACAGATGGCAGGGTGTTTTTTCGTATTGGTGGTTTGCCGGATGTTTCGTGCCTTCTTTTCGATGCATGTTGCAGATTCAGGAGTTGCATGTTTAGGGGTGGCGTCGATTCTTTTGCACGAAGGGGTGAGGGTTGATTGAGAGAAAAGAACCGAAAGAAGAGAGACAGCCTGCCAGCCCAGCTCTCCTGGGCTACACAGCACGTGGGTACGTAGATGGTGCATGGGGAGAAGCGTCTGGGTAGAGAAGACAGACACATACAAGGTGCTGAGGGGACGGGGGGTCTACATATCATTCCTTTCGTATAAATAAACGTCATTGCTGCAGTTGTTATGTCCCGCTTTCTTCGTGGTGCCCGCTTTCTTCGTGGTGCCCGCTTTCTTCGTGGTGATGTTGGTGGTGGCACAGTGGTGATGGTTGATGGTGGTGTCCACAATCACCGCCCCCTGAACCCTGCATCCACTGTCTCGCGATCCAACTTCCTGGGTCCCATCTACCCCTGAGTGCACCTAGGACCCCCTGGGCTCCGCATGTCTGCGATCGCAACTAGCGGCGCGTCTGGGCGGGTTCTGCTTGCTGTCCTCATCTTCCGTTGCGTCATCATCTCCTGTTCCGTGTTCTGACATTTTCAACGGTCAAACAAAGAGACATGTTGCAATACTCAGGGGAGAGAGTTGCTTTATTGCGACTACATCATCGAACAACGCTTCCTATATGCATAAGGACTTCTTTCTCCCTTAGCTCTCTGCTAGCCCACACAAGCTGACCGACCTACTTTTTCTCAAGTCTCTCTTTCCATCTGACGCCTGTCGCATGCATGCTACGCGCCATCGTTTGGATTTTAAACAGCGCTGATTCTGCACCGCAAATTGAACAAAGACAACCACAATCCAAAGCATCACATTGCATTACAATCCCCATCCATCACTCCCTGCCACCTCCACACTTTACATCCACCAGTTGTCCGCCCCCCTTCCCATCGTCCGGGCATCCACACCCCATCATCATTACATATTTCCAAAAACTTCACGCCGCCGCGTGTCCCTCACAGACTCGCTCACACCCAATCCTCCTCCTCCTCTGTGCTAAGACCCACATTCCGCGCATCCGCGCACCCACCACCACCCCACTCCACAAGTGAATGCCAACCAAAAAGAATGGAACACTGCAAAAGACAAAAGACGAAGCAACGACCCGGGATTGAACCGGGGACCTCGGGATAACTGCTGTGTTGTGGTCACTGCAATCCTGCGCTCTGCCGCTGAGCTATCGCTGCTATCTTGATTTTGGGACCGGCTAAATTGCACTATATTCTAACTTTTTCTTTTTTGCAGGGGCTGTCCCGCAGATTGATGCCTCTTTTCCCTCCGTTTTTTTCCAACACAAAGAAAGTGAGAGATGGATAAGCGAGGGCGGGCGAGGGGCTTAACGCCGACTACCTTATCTCGGCTGCATGACTAGAGGGAGGACGGGGCGGAGGGGACCTTTGTTGTGTACATTTCAAGAAGCAAGGGGGCGGCGGGGTAGCGAAGCAGAACGCCCAGCGGGGAAGCGACAGCGACGGTCCCGCAACATCACCACAAGCCCAAGTAGAACTCTGACTGCCGCATGTTCACACGTCCACCAAGCGCCAAAAAAAAAAAGAGGCGGCATATCTTGGAAGAAAGATGGAAAACGCACGGCGCTCGTCAGAATAGCTGACACCGCAATATGGCAACTGATCGTGTCAATGTGAGGCGAGCGTGGTGACTCAATACCGAATCACGGCAGACTGCCATGTCATCTTTCAATCAAGCTACCATTTTCAGGAGATGTTGTTTCAACGCCAACGAATCCAATTCGAAAACACGCATGAGAGGTGAAATCAAGGAGTAAAATACACTCGTGGCTATGCAGGACCCGTGGACCGGAGCGGATGCGACTGGTAGGTGGTAGTTGAATGGAAGACGGAGACGCCTTGCTATGCCCCGAATGTGCCGTTGAAATGAACAAAGAAACGCGAAATCGCAAAAACAAGCCAAAATCGGAAAAAGGAAGGAGATGAAAAATTGGAAATGGTAAAGAGATAGTAATATGTACAGTGAGTAAAAAAGACCAGGGTTCTATCGATGGGCGCAGTGGGACAAGGGGATTCGTGAGTGGGAAAATAAGATGCAGTGCTTCTTTCCGTGCGCGTCAAAGACAGCCGTCAAGCTCGAGTAACCATTGATGTGCATGATTGACCGTGGTATAGATGGGGTGGGGATGAAAAGTTCAGACTTTGGGGGTATCAAGCAGAATTTCACAACCAATCGGTGCGCTGTGTGGGACGCCGTCCGTCGCTTTTACACCATTTCCACGTAGTTGCTGCAAAGACAGTGTTAGCATCGTGTCAGATGATTTGCTTGCTGCGGCAGAATACGTACCTTGGGAAGATGCCCTCCCGATCTCCGATACGACCCGACCACCAATCGGTGGCATTTTCTGTCTTCTTGGTCACGGTGATGATGTCACCCTTTTTGAAACCCAGGTCGCCCGGTTGGTCGGGGTCAAACGTGAATTTGGCGATTGCTTGATCGGGACCCAGCATCGACTTGCGGAATTGCGGCTTCGGCGCCGTAGGCCTGCCGGGTCCAACCTTTTTGCCGTAAAAGGAGTCGCCAGAACCGGTACTAATGGCACGAGAGCGACGGTCCATGTTGTCAAAAGTCTCGTTGGGGTTTGCGCGGGTAGAGAAGGACCGGTTGATACCGGTGTTTTGGGGAGAAGGGCGGTCATAAACCTCATCCGTCCAGGTGGACGAGCGAGAAGGCGGGCCAAAGTCGTTTGTGGATCCAGTGCGGTGGCCGCGGACGCCCTCGCCCATGGCCGAGCCACGACGTCCTTGCCAGACAACATCTTCGTGCGAAGAGTCGTAAATCGGCATGTCGTTGTACATGGAGTCCGACGCAGACCCAGTACCAGCAACACCGGCAAATACGCGCGAGTTGAGCACGCGCATCAAGGGGTCAGCCGCCGGAGGAACCGGAACGTTGCCCTCGAGGAGTTGTCGAGCGGTCACTCTACGACCGTACAGCTTCTCGTTGGCATCGCGGCGCTCAATGATGGCGCTGCCCTCCAAACTGACACCGGCAAACAGACCCTTGGTCTTGGAGTATGCGAAAACACCAGCGACGCCCTTCAAGCTTGCTGCTCCAGCCGCTTCGGCGTTGCGGCCAACGGGTCCAGCAGCAATTGAGACGTTACCACCCAAGGTCAGCGAACCCGCCTGCGAAAATGTGCGTACGGCCGAGGCATCGTTGAGGATGAAGACGAAGTCGGTCAACTCGAAACCAATCTGGCCACCGAATCCACCCCCAACGGTTCCAATGGCCGAGGGCGCTGACCAGCTGCCATCCGGGAGACGCGCGACGACGATACCAGAGCCAAAACGACCAGAGCCCAGGAAACCAGCCTTGAGGACGGTCAAGACGGCGAGACCCTATCGGAGGTGGTTGTTAGCGTCTTGTGCGAGGTTGTGTTTTGGAGGGCGGTCGAGCGGGTGCAGCATGTGAGACATACTTTTGCATTGGCGAGGATCTGAGGCGGAATGATCTTATCGGGACCAAACGATTGACGGGGGTCGACGAAGGAGGCGAGGATTTTTCCCGTCTTCTTGATTTCACCTGCAGAGGAGATTCAGGCGTCAGCGTGGGGCGACGTCATGGCTTCAGCCGGCCGACAGCGGGGCATGGAAGGAATACTTACTGCCGACGGAAGAGGGCAGAGGGTTATGGAGACCGAGCGGCATTCTCGAGAGGTGGAAGAGGCGGCGAGGAGGGCGATATGGGAGGACTCAGGTCGGTTTTGTAGGTGGTGGAGGAGAGAAGTGGTGTTGGAGACGAGCGGGCGACGTTGTGGTCAGCGAGCGCGAGCGAGCGGGTACACATAAGCAAACCATCCGCGAGAGCCGGCTGCACTGCACAGGCACAGGTGATGCGCCACGACCTCAGCCCCATTATTGCGAAGACACTCTCAGATTCTGCCTGTCAGCATCACCCATCGACAATTACAACACGATGACTTTTCGTCGCCATGCGTCATTCATCTTGGCGACAGGGTCACTGCCTGCGCCACGCCTTTACTTTTGCTGCGCGCCCGCCGGCCATCGCGCACTGCCGAGCGTCTGCTCTTTGTGGTGTCTATGTACATTGTGGCAGCTGACAGCGACCAACCAGTGCATCGCAAAGGCGCCTTATTCCAGCTATATTCGACCAATGTCCAGCAGCGTGGCTACCACTCCCCACACCATGGCGCCATGAACTGCCGCCTACGACTCAAGATGCGGGGCACCTCCGACTCCGCATCTCAATACTAATCCCCAGCCCAGAGATATAATGGCGAAGGCAAACGGTAGGTTCAATATCAGCAGCCATCATGAGCAACCCAGTCGCCATCATCACTGGAGCGTCCTCGGGCATTGGCCTGGCTTTGACCCAGCATCTGCTCTCCAAAGACTGGCACATTGTTCTTCTTGACCTAAACTCACCCCCGCCTTCCGCCTCACTTCCCAAAGACGCGACTCTGTTCATACAATGCGATGTATCCTCGTGGGATTCCCAGTCCAGCGCCTTCGCCCGCGCATTCGAATGGCGCAAGCGAATCGACCTGGCGGCTCTAAACGCGGGCATTGACGACCGCGACGACATCTTCAACACGCTCCCTGCGCCCAATGGCTCGACGATGCCGCCGCCGCCCACCAAACCCAACATGAAGACGCTTGATGTGGACCTGTATGGCGTCTACTACGGCATCAAGCTGTTTGCGCATTATGCCTCGCTCTCGCCGTCTTCAAACAAGGACATTGTCGTCACCGCCTCGTCCGCCGCCCTCTACCCTCTTCCATCCGTCCCGCAGTACTCGACTGCCAAACACGGCCTTCTCGGCCTTGTGCGAGCGCTGGCGCCCAACGCCGCTGCGCATGGCTTCACCATCAACGCCATTTGCCCAGACATGATCCAGACGGCCCTGGCTCCCGAAGGCCTCATGGAGAATTATCCGGCTCACGCCAAGACGCCCATGTCGTCCATGATGCGGGCGTATGATGATTTGATCGGGCTCGGAGCCGGTGGGATGGAAAAGAAGAATGGCAAGGTGCTCGAAGTCGTGACTGACCAGTTGATATACAGGGATGGCCCGGAGCCGCTCAGTGGGAAACAGGGCTCAGAGGCTTTGGGAGACATTTTGAAGTTGTGGGAAGATGTCTATCGCAAGAGAAACGTTGAATTTGCGAGGAAGACTGAGGCGGAAGAGCGGGCAAAGGCTGGCGCCAAGTTGTAAAGTGGCCGGAAAGCGGAGAAAAAATCACTGAACATGAGAAAACGACAGACCGGAGGAGGGAGATGGAAAAAAGAAGTGTCGGATGGAACATGCCTCAAATCCAGCAATTCTGCTCTCTCACTACGGACCTTCACTCATGGACCCAACCACATCCAGAATCCGACAACACCCGCTCCAACAGCCAATGACGATGGCAAGACGCAGCAACCAATGAACGGCCAGAATCAGCGGACCAGGCACGAAAAGCAGGGTCCACCGCCTCAGAGCACCCACTCACCCACTCCTCCCACTCTCGCCGCGCTCCGCTAAAACGCCAACCGCCCTAAACCCTACGCACGGATCAAGATCGTGAAGTGGTGCCGTGCCCACGGACATGGCGCGCGGCCGCGGCGGCGCGGCTCGCTCTGCTCGGGGCTCCTGGCTCGGGCGTCTCCAGGCTTGCCGTGGTGGAGCCCACCACCACGAATCCACGATACCCGTAATATAAGGTTTTGTCGGTGCCTGTTCCTGGCTGCTCATCATTCTTCCTTTTCGACTGTTGTTGGTCATCCCGCTCTCTGGCTCCCGCCTCACTTTGTGTGCCTGGCTGGCCCTCGATGAGACTTGACTCGACTCAGGTCAACGACGATGGACCCACCCCACGATAAGCGGCCGGGTGGTGAGCTGACGGGCGGGCGGCGGACGTGGCGGCTCTGTTGAGTCTTTGGTCCTGTTGTTGTTTCTTTCTGTGTGGGTTGAGTGCCCGTCTTCGTCCACTGCTGCGGCAGTGACCTTGGTCGACTTCCTTTCCAATCTGTTTGTTCATGAAGTAAGTGAGTGCTTTCGTTTCGTGGCGAGCAGGCCATCGCCACCTGGGTAGTTTAGACATGGCAAATTGTTCGAGATACAATTCCAGTCCACATGCCTCCTCTCGTTGACTCGCTCCCTTGTGTCTGCGCCGACCTGCTGCTACGCAGTGATGGATGGTCGCCACTCCAG